CATAATTTTAACTAAAATTCGATAAAAATTAAGAATATTTTCTATGTTTAGCTATGGATATTCGCAAATTTTTTTCTAAAAGCAAAACTGGTTTAGAAGATATAGTCCAGATAAATCCAGAACCATCTACAAGTATATAATCGTTAAATGAATTAGTTGGAAGACGTAGAGGTAGACGATACTATTTATGAAGAAAACGTACAAAATTTTTGATACTCTCAAGAGATTTACCTTGCAAAAGAGAGTCAATAAAGCAAATACGTCTACATAATTATCCCAAACGAAATTTTCGTTCATTTCAAGTTAAATGGTTCTCTAAATTTCAATAGTTGCAATATTCACGTGAGAGATGCAGCATTTTGCTATGCTTGTATGCAATTTGAGACACCTGGTAATAAGGAGAAAATATTTACTAAATCAGGATTTCGATCATGGAAGCATGCGTTAGATGCAAGAGGTTTTCTGAGATATGAACAAAGTATACACCATTTGCAAGCAATAGCATTATGGCAAGAAAAGATGCACAGAACCGACACTTCTCAATCTATTTCTACGCTTATTAATTCAAATGTACTTGAAAAAATCGCTATTATATTAAAACTATTGCAGAAATTGTTCAATTTTTAGTGGTAAATGAACTTGCCTTGCAGGGACACTTTAATATCAAAGATGATGAACAAGGCCTTTTTAAAAATGTATTTGAATATACTTAAAAAAAAAGACAAATATCTTTCAGAATGTCAATTAACAATTTCAAAAAACGCAATTTACACATCTCCAGAAATACAAAATAAAATTATAGCTGTAATTACAAAAATTGTGCGAGAAAATGTTGTCCAAGAAATAAACAGTGTTGACGTAAATTGGTTTACTTTATTAGAAGATGGAACACACAATAAAACACAACAGAGAAAACATATCAATTGCTATTAGATATGTAAAAGATGGCAAAGTTAAGGAATCACTTCTCATCTTAACAACTACTAAAAAATTAAACGCGGAGACATTCACACAAGAAACTTTAAAAGTTTTAAAAGAGAATAACTTAAAAACAGACTATCTTCTAAGTCAATGTTATGACGGAGCAAGTGTAATGAGTGGTAAAGTAGGAGTTTCAGCACGTATTCAAAAAGCAGTTAAAAAGACTGTGTCCTATGTACATTGCTTTAATCACAGATTGCATTTAATCATTATAAAAGCAATATCCGAAATTACAATTCTAAAGCATTTTTTTACCAGTGTGTCACATTGCATGAGTTTTTTCATCATGCTACCTTAGCATCCTTAGCAATAGAATTTATCCATAAAGAGGCAAAGATGTACATATCAGTGAAGAACAAATCAAGACAGTGGCGGAGGACGTATGTTTCCTTACTTATTTTAACTTATGTTTAAAAACAATTTGACATATATTCATGACATATTTTATCAAGATTTATCAATTTTTATTTTACATATATGGAAAAGAAATTTTATAACTTTTGTTAGATTAGGTTGTTAGGTTTTGTTAGATTATATTTTTTTCGATATATTAGTCAATTCTTTTCGAGTTTTTATATGGATCAAATAAAGTATTCTTATAAAAGGTAAAATGAACGGCATGTATATTTAATAAATTTTATATAATTTTGGATAAATACTTTCGGGTTTAACCTTTAGAGGACGGGCGTATTTTTTTGTAACCTTTGTAATTTGAAGTAAGAATTTTTATATTTTTATTATAGTGTTGTACCATGAAAAATAAGCGACTCTTATAGACCCAAAATATTGGCTTCCCGTCCTCTAAAGATTAATATATACATGAAAAGGTTATTAATTATATCGAACTAGAAAAAAAAACATTTTTCCATCCTACAAAATTAATTTTTTAACAAGTATGATATTTAAGGAACAATTATTCTTTCTTTTAACTTATTTTCTATTGTGCAATTTTCACGTTTACACATACAATTAATTGCATAATATATATTACATAGGTTAGGTAGCCCAATTATACGAAGGAAAAAATATAGTGCGACTCTTAGAACAGCGATGGTCGGATCACTTGGCAGCGGCTAAAGTAATTTTTTCTAATTATAGTAAAATACTTAAAACATTAGAGGAAATTCCCCCAAAAAATTCAATGGTGGCGACATAGCAAAAAGTGTTGGGCTGCTTAATGTTATGAAAAAACTTGACTTTCGTTTTGCTATGGTTCTAGCAAATAAAATATTATCGATGCTGGAAATCAGCCGATGCTGCTAGCATCGCTAGCGGGAAAGAGAGAGACGGCTGTCACTAAGCCGCAGCGCAACGGCCAGCGAACGCGTCCGTTCGGGCCATTGTATACCGCCAGCCGTGATAAATATTTGTTTAACACGTATCTTTTCGTTCCTTCTAGAAAGACCCGAATAATAGAATTTGTTGTCGGATTGTTTTTCCCGCCGGATCTTTCTAGAAGGATCAGTGTCCTTATAAGGCGCAAAAGTTGAGCGCGATTCGCAGTCGCCTTTCGATAATCGACGAGATAAACGAGAATTTGTACACGCGAAAATTATTACTGACACGGCTACTTTTTGGATACTGATTCGAATTCGGACACGATTTCGCCGACTAGAGGCGTCGGGGCATAATAGTTATTAAATCCGGAATCGGAATAATTGTTATTATCGCTTGCGTTTTTCGAGTTCTTTTAATAAAAGTGCAAGTTCTTTTGAAACCGACTCAATTTATTTATTGGGCAGTCGCCCGATCTATCTCTCGAAAATTTCTCTCTCCTCACTGCGCTTCACTCGCGCTACAAGTCCGCTCGCGAACAGAAAACTACAACTATTTTAATGACCAGCATTGTCGTGCAACGTGCAATTAATGAAATTTAAATTAGTTTTTTATTTTTTTCTGATATTTAACTACAGATATACATATATAGTAAATAGGTTACTATCACTACATTATAGTAGGTTACAACCCAATAGGTACTACCTACCAATAAAATGGTTATTCTTTATGTTCCTAAATTTTGTGATATCTTGATAATTATATTTATTGTAAAGATATTATTTTTATTTTAAAAATATTGTTTGGTTGGTTTATACTATTTTCACTTTTTGATTAGTATATTATTTAATATTTTTATTTAATACTTAAACTAAAAAGTTTTATTTTTGTTTTATATTATAGAGAGAGAGTTTAAAACAGGGACCTGGACCGTACCAGAACCGAACCGATAACCGTTCATACCGTTTTTTTTAGTAGAACCGAAACCGTAAACCGTATTGAAATTCTATTAAATTTATAACACCGGAACTATAACCGGACTGTTAAATTATTTTCGGTTTACAGTTATTTTCGGTATTTCTTTTCGGTTTTTACGCAAATGTCTATATTTATCAGAAATCTCTATATTTCTCAGAAATGTATATATTTTATATTTTTGCAAAAGGACATATAAATTGAATCTCGAAATCATTATTATAATTATTGTCTGCCTCTTTTTATAACAGAAAGAACTATTCTAGCGATGGCAATAAAAAAAACGAAGAGAATTCCGATAAAAATGGATCGCCTGTAAAACGTTCCAAAATCACTTAGGATTAGGATTAGGCAACTTGATGTTGATTGTTGCATTCATTATTTGATATCTCGAAGTGCAATTTTCCTTATAACTTATAAGTTTCCTTATACTTGTAACAAAATTTATTTATGACATGAAATAATTAAATACATGATACATAAATATATTTTCATATATGATACAGTGTTGTTTATTTATACCATTAGATTCATAACTTTTTAAAATAACAATTAAAAACTTAATATATTTAGAAATTAACTTGAATAAAAATTAATTTAATTTAAAAAAGATAATTTAAAAAACCGGAACCGAAAATACCGTAATTTAAACGGTTTCGGTATCCTTTATTTATCAAGAAACCGAAACTGGAACCGGAACAGTTATTAAATATTTTATTAAACCGTAACTGAAACCGAACCCTAATTCTGTTTCGGTCCGGATCCCTGGTTTAAAGTTTAAATATAAAACTACATAAACGTAAATTTTATAGTTACTTCAGTAATCCAATTAAAAATAATATTTAGAAATTTATTATTTAAGACGTTTAAAATAGGCACTATCTTTATTTATTTATTTAATAAACAAGGTACCATATGTATTTGGCGTTTGAGTATACTTTTGTCTGTGTATTACTATTTAATTGTTTAATACAAAAAATAATTTTAACTGAAATAATAAGTTGAAAAATGTTATAAATTTATGGTTCGTCCTGGTAATTCTTGTCCTACCCTGTCAATCTTCTTGCTTGCTCTAGCATTTTAGTCTGGCTACGCTCCTGTACGTATGCCATAATTGTGATTCGGAATAGATACAAATCTCCTTTGTACAAGTAGATTATTTACTATTATTTTGAATTAAATCATTTTGTATATTTAAAAAGTCACAAAATTAATGTGGCATAAGTAATAATTATGTTGTGATATTATTTTTAATTATTTTGCCTAATATAATTTTTTTTTAGTTTTTTAAAGATTATAAAAATAGCCTACCTATTTGTTTTATTTTTTTATTTTAATAATATAATAAAAGTTTTTAATAAAAATTATAATAAAAGTTATATTACATAATAAAAGATTAGAATAAATAACATTAAGAATATATAATTCAGCCTCCTACATAAATACAACATATATATCTATATCGGCTTATTGGCCATACCGCGATGTTCTTTGCGTCAACAAAATTAATTTTTTCGTTGGATTAGGAATAGTATCCTTCCCCCTCGGGGGCCACGGCCTTGCCGCGGCGAGGGGGCTCACCCTTTGTAGGAGGATAGTCCTACAAGGGGTGCCAACAGTGGCCCGTACCTTAGAGTATAAGGTACAACTTGTATGAGTGTGAGTGTGGATGAATGAGTGTGATGGATGGGCCTGGTGGGGCCAAAAGGGCTTCGGCTCGCCACCCCTGGAAGGACACCAGGTTAAAAAACCAAACCAAACACACAAACATGGAGCACACACAGAAAGAGGAGAAACTTACTGTCTCAGGGGTACTCGGAGCCCCAGAGATCGGCGCGGATACCATTATCGTCCCAGATGGTGCCACGTCGTCATCTTTCTATGGGCTAAGTGAGGAGCGCACCGCGGGCTCCTCACCTGAATTGGCTACCGCGACGACGATCATCGATGTGGCAGGAGTTGCCGCTATAGTGGAGCTACGAGAAGGAGAAACCCCAGTGATGTTGCCACCCGACACTGGAGAAGGTAAAATGGAAGTAGCTGCAGAAACCTCCAACAAGAGGAAGAAGATGATCGAGGACTCGGGATCGGAAGATCAGGAGATATACCGTCCCAAATTTAACAGAAAGGTGAAGAGAGATAGGAGCAAGAAGAATGTCTTCGTATCGGACACGGAGGATGATGCCACGGAAGATCAAGTGGATTCCAAAATTCTTTCAGAGGGCACACTGAAAGATGGAAATAAATCCGATGGAAAAGACGAATCACAATGCTCCGACGAGGGCGAAGGAAAAGTAACCAAGGCTAAAAGAGGCCCGGGAAGACCACCCAAAAGGATAAACAGAGCTAGGCAAATGGAAACACCTGAGCTACTGCAGATATTGAGAGGCACTCCAGAAAAATACTGCCCTACGGAGTATCATAATATGACGGCGGCAGGGATCGGAACCTTAGTGATGGAATGGCTCGAAGAAATGGATGGTGTTCGAGTCAAATCCGGGAAACTGCAGGGATCCTTGAGTGGAAAAATGAAGAACCACATTATAGGCATCAAAAGTGCAGTCAGAGTGCTAGTTAACAAAGCGGAAGCGTCAGGAGATCCCGGCTTCTGGAGAGCTAGACACTCCAGCATCACTAAGGAGTTGCAAGATCACAAGAAAGAAGAAAATAGATCTAAGAAGGAGATAGAAGAAGCAAATAAAAAGATCAAGAAATTGAAAGAAGAACTGGAAAGAGAAAAAGAACAAAACAAGAAAAGAGAAGAACAAAGTAAGCAAATAAAGAGTGAAAATATCAAAGAAAGAACACCAGTGAAACAAGATAGATCTCTGACACCGGCAATGAGACCACCCATTAGAGGGAGCTCAACACCATTGCCAGAAATAAGTGACATGGCAGAAATAGAACTATTTGAGCAACAAAATATAGACATACAAATTGCCCAATTAGTCCAGAGGAAAAGAGATATAGTCCGCGAAAAGACAGAAGAGAAAGAGAAAAGAAAAGCTACATACAGCGAGATACTCAAAGGCAAGACTAAACAAATGCCCAAAGTTAAAAGCAACGTACAGATAATGCCACCAAGAGTAGAAAGCGAGATGACGGAAGAAGAAGAGGGATCAAAATCTAGAGAAGGATGGACAAAAATAGAGAGAAAAAAGAAAGGAAGGAGACCTGAAAATAAAAATATTAGTGTACCTGTAAGAAAAGAAACATCCCAACCCTGCCAACAAAGGACAGTACATGGGATGCAACATGCAGGGAACTCGTCTCAACCCTGCCAACAGAGGGCAGTACAAGAGACGAGAAAGGAGAGAGGAATGCCCCCACCCCGCCAACCAGGGACGGTACAGGGGACCGAAAAAGGAACAAGGCGCAGAAGACCTCCGAGAACTGCGGCCGTAGCCATCAAAGGATTTGATGAGAAATTCTCATATGCACAAGCCCTAAGGATAGCCCAAGAAAAAATAGAACTGTCGGACCTGAAGATTTATAAATCTAGAGTAAGGAAAGCAGCAAACGGAGGCGTGATTGTGGAGATACCTGGTCCACAAGGATCCGACAAAGCGGACAACCTCGCTAAGAAACTTAGCGAAGTCATGAGTGGATACGCGGAAGTAACGCGGCCCACAATTAAAGGGGAGATCATCATATCTGGATTCGATGAATCGGTGACTGCAGACGACATCTTCGAATTAGTGTCGAGGTTAGGCGGATGCAGAAACGAGCAGATCAAAGTTGGTGCTATTAGGAGGCTGCCCAATGGAAACAACATGGTGTGGGTGCAATGCCCAGTGGACGCGGCAATCCTGGTAGCCGAGAAGAAGAGACTGAGGATCAGGTGGACTACAGCTCGGGTGGAAATGTTACAAAAACGGCCCACCCAATGCTACAAGTGTTGGCGGAAAGGGCACATACGCAATAATTGTCCATTTAAGGAAGATTATAGCAAGGTGTGCTTTAGATGTGGCGGCAACGACCACCCTGTAAAAATATGCACAGCCGACATCAAATGCAGAGTGTGCGCAGACAAAAACCTAAGCGCCAATCATCGAGTTGGATCCAACAAATGCAGCCTGGACCAAGACGAAAGGAGAGAGAGTATACGAAAGGAAACCCAGCAAGAGCCGGATCGGAGAGTAGCGGCTCCACCTGTGTCGCAGGATGATTACAGCACTACAATGTAACTTGAACCACAGCTGGGGAGCTCAAGATATGATGTCTCAGCATGTACTTGAAAAGGGAATAGGCATCTGCCTAATATCTGAGCCCAGACACACACCGGACTCTCAGTTGTGGTTCACTAGTAACAACCGAAAGGCAGCGATACATTGGAGACCCGAACATTTAAAAAGGATCTGCACACTGATCGGCAAAGGAGAAAATTTCGTCGCAGTCAAATGCAACGATATAAACTTCATATCGTGCTATATATCGCCAAACATCGACCACGGAGAATTCCTAGAAGCCCTAGATGAGTTAGGTGAAATAGCACAACGAATAGGCTCAAACCTCGTAATTGGAGGAGACTTCAACGGAAAGTCCATCCAATGGGGCTCCTCATACACCAACAGAAGGGGAAAGCTGATAGAAGAATGGGCGGCAGAACAAGACCTAAGGCTCGTGAATATCGGCAATACTCCAACGTGCGTGAGGCAACAGGGCACCTCAGTAGTCGATCTTACGTGGACAACAGCAGACCAGATATCGAACATCTGTAACTGGAAAGTGGAAACCGATATTGAAAGTCTCTCCGACCACCGGTATATCACATTTGAGATCGGCAAAGAACCACTAACACAACGCAAAGGTAAACGCGAAAGAAAGTGGAACTTTGCGAAGATGGATGTCGAGATGCTACAGGCCTCACTAGACTGGGCATGCTCTGTCGGCATGGCAGAAGAAGAAATGACCAACACTAACGGATGGTACCGGTGGACGGAGAGAGTAATGCGAGAAGCATGTGACGCCTCAACACCTAGGTGTAAACAGGCCACGCCTAAGAAGAAAGCCTACTGGTGGAATGAGCAAATCGCACACTTAAGATCTGAGTGCAACAAGAACAGAAGAGCTTGGACCAGGAGCAAGAAGTGGAACCAGCCCGAAGAGACAGCAACAAGAGAAAGAGCGTACAAAACATCAAAAAGCGCTCTACGCAAGGAAATCAACAAAGCCAAGTCTGATGCGTGGCAGGAGCTTGTTGAAGTAGTGGATTCTGACCCATGGGGCCTGCCGTACAAAGTGGTATTGGGAAAGCTGAGAAGAGCTTCACCGGGACTCTCAGAAATACTGGAAGAAGGAGAACTCAATATTCTTCTAAATAAGTTGTTTCCGATGGGTCAAACACATGACCCAAAAGAAGAATGGAAAGACTTCCAGTGGAATGAAGAAGACCACGTAAGACTAAAAGAAGTCAGAGAGTCCATTAAAGACTGTGGTGGCAACAATGTGGCCCCAGGGCTTGACGGAATTAAGGCGATAGCTTGGAAAAACATACCCAAGCAAATGCTCGCTAGGCTGACGCAATGTTTCGACATGTGCCTGAGTGAAGGGAAGTTTCCAGAAAATTGGAAAAAAGCACGTTTGGTGCTAATACCCAAGGCACAGACAAGCGAACCTGGTCCACCTAAAGCAAGACCCATCTGCCTATTAAATGAAGTGGGCAAAATATTTGAGCGCGTGCTGGTGAGGCGTATAGCAAATTGGATGAAGGATGAACAAGACGCACAACTATCCCCCGTCCAGTACGGATTTAGAGAAAAACGATCCACTTGCGACGCGCTAATGAGAGTGAAGGAGATCATCGAGGAACGCACTGGAAATGGAGGTGTAGCAATTGCAATAGCAATTGACATAGAAAACGCGTTCAACTCGATACCATGGCCGATCATCCGGAACGCCATGAGAAGGAAGAGATTCCCAGAATACCTATGTCGAATAATAGATGAATACCTCAACAATCGTAGCATAGAGTATAAGACACAAAAAGGAGAAACGAAACAAAGACCGGTCACAGCCGGAGTCCCACAGGGTTCCGTACTGGGGCCGGTGTTATGGAACATCGGATACGACAGTGTACTCGAAGCGAACCTAGAACCGGGATGCCATCTATCATGCTACGCCGACGATACGCTGGTGATAGCAACGGCGCAAGATGTGGAAACAGCGATCACCAAGGCAAACATCCAAGTGGCCCGAGTGGTGAAGAAGATCAAAGAGCTTGGTTTAGTGGTTGCAGCGAATAAGACCGAAGCTGCAATCTTCTACAAGAAGGACAAACCGAGAAACATACCGGATATAATGGTAGAGAGAGAGGTCGTCAAAGTTGGTGGATCGCTCAAATACTTAGGCGTGATATTGGACAGCCGCCTGAACTTTAAAGACCACTTCACATATATCGAAGGTAAGGCGAGCAAGGTTCTTAGATCCCTAGGCAGACTGATGCCAAATCTTAGAGGACCGTCAGAGGCTAAGAGAAGGCTATTCGCAAATGTCATCATGTCGATACTCACATATGGTGCACCTGTATGGAGCGACGCCTTAATGGCGAACAAAAAGATTCAGCTGCCCTTCCGGCGGCTTCAAAGGACACTGGCAATCAGAGTTATAGCGGCCTACAGGACAACGTCATATGACGCAGCTACTCTACTCTCCAGGATCATGCCACTATATCTCGTAGCAGCATCAAGGAAGAGAGCATACCTCAGAATCCGGGACCTCCGAAGCTGCGAAGATTGGAGCGCCGAGGAGGAAGCGGAAATAAAGAGAAATGAAGACTTCATAACAAGGAGACAATGGGAACTGCATCTCAACAACCCAAGCAACCCAGGAACGAGGACAAGAGACGCCATAATGCCCATGTACACCAAATGGCTCGATAGGAAGAGAGGGCACCTGACATTCCACCTGTCACAGATAATGACAGGGCATGGATGTTTCAATAGCTACTTATACAGGATTGGCAAAGCGGACACACCGATCTGCGCCCATTGTAGAGATGAAGTCGATACAGCCGAACACACGGTACAGCGCTGCATGACCTGGACCGCGGAAAGGCAAGACTTGATAGACCACATAGGAGAGGATCTTCAATTCTCAACCATCATAACGAGGATGCTGGAGAAAGAAGAGTCTTGGAAGGCGATGATCCGGTTCGCTGAATCGGTCATGCGCGCCAAGGAAGAGGCGGAGAGAGAGAGGCAGAGGAGGCCTGATGGGGATGCTACCCCATCGATCCCGGGCAGCACCTAACCAGGTGCTCGGAAGCGAGGGGGTGGAGAGAGAATAATAATGCTTCTGATACCTAGTATCAGATAGCATAGATAGAAGGAGAACCCACGCACACTTGGGAAGGAGTCGTGTGAATGCACACACACACATACACACAATACACTCTATACACACACACATACTGACAAGCACGCACACGCAAACACAAACATAAAGAAACTAGCACAAATCAAACTACATACACACACACAAATCACTCACACGATCCATACGGAACTGAGGGATTACTTACTTATTTTAGGGTAGGGGGATATCTGGGGGGGGGGTAGGACGGGTATTCTTAGGACTTGGGGGGAAGGACGGGGGGATGGGATGGGGGGTAGGACGGGTGTTCTGGGGATATGGTAGGGAGGTTGGGCTGGGGAAGGAGAGTGGGGGGAAGGGGGGATGGGCGATCTGGGCGCGCGTGGAGGAAACGTGGGAACGGGTGGGAACAATCACACAATCACGTCACACACGCGTATACAAACTAAACAGGGAGGGAAATTAAGGGGGGAGGGTCTTCTAGGGGTTTGTTCCGTCGAGGAAGACTGCCGGAAGGAGAGCGCAAACGCGCAAGGTGGCCGGGATCATGGTAGCATGCTTAGGCGGATCCCAGATCCCGACCGACAGCCTGAGGGAATGCCCTCGGTTGACAGGCGGAGGTTTAGTGGGTAGGACTAATCGGGGCTGTTGCCCGGGTTGGGACCCCTTGCAGTCGAGTCATCTCGGTGGCTGGACTAGAAAAACTAGGTGCCTCGATTGGGTACAAAATGTTCTTGGATGGGTCCCAAAGGCAATTCGAAGTGAACACACTAATAATTATGGACATTTTAAAACGTATATAAAATGTAAAAAAAAAAAAAAAAAAAAAATTAATGCTTTTATAGCATAATAATTGTACCGGTACTATATTAACTTTTTTTTTGTTACATTTGTAGGATCGACTAGAAAAACACTTTCCATTTTGACAGATAAACAATTTCAGAACTATGTGTCAGCTTGGTTAAGGCACTCAAAAACGCGCTACGACAGAGAACTAGTATGTTTTACGTTTTACTTGTATATTTTAGTTTTCGATATAACAACATATTTATTATTACTTTTATTTTTTACAGGCAAAGCAACAACGTCAATAAGTTTTATCATTTTTTAAGTATCACAATAATAGTTACTTGTGTATTTAGTGTATTCATGAATTTTTTTATTTTTACGTTAAAATCAAAGAGAATTAATATTTTTATATTAAAATGTTGGCTTGTATTAAAATTATTTAGCGATAAATGAATGCAATTAGATGATAACTTATATATTACTAAAACTTCTTATTGCCCACATTAACAGCACTGACCATATTAGTTGTGTTAGCGATTTGTGTTATTATGTATCTTATAAGTTAATTATATCCCCATAGCAAAAAATGTCACAGTGACATCACAATAAGCTCACAATAGAGTCACAAGGTGACAAAAAAATGTAATGTCACTGTGATGTCATTGTGAGATTATTGGAAGGTAACAGTGATATCATTAATCACAATTGAAGTGATATCATTGTAAAATGTCACATTGATATAACTAGTATATCACGAAATGTAACAATAAGGATAAAAAAATCTGTCATAGCAAGAAAATGTCACAGTGACATCATAAAGATGTTCTGCTGTGACGATAAAATATATATTTAATCGTCACAGCACAACATCTTTATGATGTTACAGTGATATCATCAAAAATGTCACATTGATATAACTAGTATATCACGAAATGTAACAATAATGATAAAAAATCTGTCATAGCAAGAAAATGTCACAGTGACATCATAAAGATGTTGTGCTGTGACGATCAACAATTAAAATTAGAAAAATAAAGTTTAATTTATGATATATTTAATAAATAATTTATATTTATTTATTTAT